CCTTAACACTGATGACATTAACAGCCTGAGGATAACATAAAGTTGTGAGTTGTAGAATGACTTTTCTTCAAAGTGCCATTGGCTTTGTATTTGTCACTGTATATGATGATACACTTCCAGAGTACTTTTCTGTAGAAATGACTATGCAAATAGTTATGTTTTGTTGCATCTTGTGTAGTAACATAGATCCACTCTGTAAAGAGGTACTGACTGTCATTTACTCCTCTTAATACCATCTACCAGAAAAAAAAGCCAGCTCTTTACAAACATGATCCTATAGGCGTCACACTGGAAAGAATAGTGAACCCAGCCGTAAACACAGAGAAATCCTTAGCCATCTCCAGGCAATACAATCCTGTATGTTTTGTTGACCAAAACCTAGATATTGTATCAGACATGCATGCTGTGTATCTCCATGTACTCAGCAGATGTGATTTAAAAGGAGGTCCAGTTCTGATCCTGAAAAACACTAAATGTATGTGTTCATAGGGTCTTACAGTGGCAGTAAATCACAGCCCTGGGTTTTAGAAAGCAGGTTTACCTGACTGGGTTGCTTTCTATTTTGTAAGGTCAAGGTCATCTTAGACATGATTTAGGGGGAAATTTTGCAAATGACAGGTTTGCCTGTGAGGTAGTAGTGAGCATGGAGTTGTGCAGGAGGTTCCTACCCACTTTGTGCAATGGGGAACTGAGCCCTCTTTCATTTGGTTTTCCCTCTGGCATTATGTGCCTACCATACAGCCACGGCTGGTTTTGCCATAGATCAAGGAATTACCCTGCTTACTTCTGCAGGAGAATTTTAGGCACAGATCTTCCTTATTGCTTTCCAGGAAGAGTTTGTTCAATGTGAGAGGGAACCTTGGAAAGAAAAGAGTGAAAATCTAAGCTGGAAGACAGGTGGCTTTATTTTGCTGTCTTTTCATCAGGACCGACTGCTACATAATGCACCCAGAAGTCATATTTGTTGCTGTTGTTAGACCATTATGCTGCTCCTCACCTACTTCAGCAGCCTACATACATCCCATGCATTGCAGAAGTTGCTGTTATCACTTCTATGTCCCACACAAAACAGCAGAGAGGTGAGAGTTTTCGCACTAATAGCTATTTTGGGTTGAAAACCCCACACTGTCTGCTAGGTTCATGTTTTATCCACCTCCAGAACATTTCAGTCTTTATTTTTTATTCCTGTATCCTGCTGACCAAAAAACACCCCATGGTCATTCCTAGACTAGTAAGAGGCAGATAACCGCAAGGACATATTTGAGCTGACAGCCTTCTATCAAAGAGTCCTGCTCAAGGACTCAAGGCTGAAGCAACTGGCTGTGGGATGGGGTATATAACCTGCTTTTGAGCTTACTCTTTCTCCAGGGATGCACAAAGTGGGTTTATTGTCTAGCCATTTTTTAAAAGGCATCAGGGCAATCCTAGAAAACTGCAAATGGGTAAAGCTGACATCCCTACCACACAACACCAAGACAGAGTGGGCCCATGGGTAAATGTAGAGCACAAAAGAATAGCAAATACAACATTTGTGACAAGATATATCATACTTCTTGGTTATACTAGAATTTAATAAAGAATCAGTGAGTATACAGACAAAGGGGAGCCAAAATAGCATCGTGTCCTTGGATCTTTAAAAGAATCTCAATACAGATTCACCTTAAAGGTACCAAAGAAGTTAAACTATTACATTATAGGAAAGTCCTCACATAAATGTACAACTGGTTAAAAGATGAAAATTAAAGGATAGGAATCAGAGAAGAGTTCATGACGGGGCTTGCCTGGGGCCTGTGCCATTTAATGTAGACACCAGCAATTTGGAAAACACAGGGTGAGCTATGAAACAACTAAGTTTGCTGTTGTTCTAAGTTCTCACCAGAGAGGAGGTCAGGCTGCAGGGAACTCTTAAAGGACTTCAAAATACTGAGTGACAAAGTGATAACACGGCAGATTAAAATCATAAAAATGGCTGATAATAGACAAGAATAGCGAGTAAGGACAGAATCAAAATGCTGCAGAAGTGATGCATAAACCGCAGAGACTTTCTGAGACAATGTTGTCTTTTCTTCTTATTTTTCCCCTTTCTAATTTTAACTACTAGATAGTAGATATCTTTTCACACTTCTGTATGCGTGTCTATAAACTCTCTTTCTCAGATTGCATAGCTGGAAAAAATTGTGCTGATCTTCAGTAAAAATGTCCTACACTTCTGCTATGTTCCTCATCAGAAATATTTAGGGTAGCCATTAAAATTAAATTCATACTTAAATTTAGCTTTGCTGGAAGCACATCCCTCATTTGGATATAGTGAGGAGTGGCATAGAAGAGGAGATGCAGGACCCCCATGGATGTGAGAGATGACAAGTTTTCATGTTAAAAATGATTCACCTCACTTGTATGATACACAACAGCGGGGTAAAAATGTGGTCTTGTGGAGAATGATTTTTATAACGTTCTTTTCTAACACTATTATCATGTTATCAGAGCAAAGCAAGGAATGATTAATTCAGCAGTTTATCTTAAGCACCCTATAGAAATGTGTCTCATAGACATTGAGTGGGGGAGAGCTGGACGGAGGTCAATATAAGAAAAAAAATTATTTGGATTCCTTTGAGTTGTTAGGTAACTATGGTAGTACTGGTGAATCTCTGCAACATCTGGTGTCAGATTTAGCACGAAAGGTTCAAAGATACTTTTAAAATTTCCAGTTGGAAATGAGGATACTTTGAAATGGGAAGGAAGGATGAATGGATGGATGGATGGATGGATGGATGGATGGATCTGCTGGATGTATAGCAATGTCCTTAACTGTTTTTCCATGGCCCCCTTTGGCATGGCATGGAAGGACTGTAGACTTTTCAGTTAGTGGTCTAATAATGTAGCTCCCAACCAGTTCCAATAGCATTCTGTGAGAAAAAAAAAAAAAAAAAAAAAGAGTATTAGTTTAATCAGTATTAGTGGGAAGAATCACTGTCTCACTGCCAATGGCTAGGGGAATTTTATCCTTCTCTGTCAGGTTTTTCATTTTTCCACTTCTTCTCTTCTCTCCTCTTCTCTTCTCTCCTCTTCTCTTCTCTTCTCTTCTCTTCTCTTCTCTTCTCTTCCTCTTCTCTTCTCTTCCTTTCTCTTTCCTCATTCCTCTTCTTTCTTATCTTTTTTTTTTTAATTTTCTTTTTCTTTTTCTTTCAATAGAGGTTGCTACAGCTGACTTCACTTCCCTGGAGGACAGCTAGCCTCATTTAAGGAATGCCTCATGAAAGGTCATGTGCACAATAGCACACATTGACTATGTGTAAATGCGTGCTGAGGTGTCTCATGTTTAGCCCTGGAATGGGAGAAATCCCACAGCATTATTTCACTTGCACCTCACATGCATATGCATGTCTGTGATGAGTACAAACAGGAACAGCTGTTTCCTTCAAAATCCAAGATTACTGACTCACTTTGTTATGACTAAAATGAGGATATGAATGAAGGTATCTTACACTAGGGGAGATAGCTGGCTCCCTGGGAGTAGGAAGGGCTGCAACAGTTGCAACTACACTTGTTAGGCTTATTACAACTAAACTTTGGGCTCAGTGGGGTGGTATTTCTGGAATTTGCTGATTCAGCTGAAGTTCAGGGGAAAGTTGGAGGTCCCATGCTGGTAGGAATTCCAAGGAAAATCTGCCCCATTCCCAGTCAGCCCAACCAGTTTGCCCCCAGATAATTTTCTTGGTAAAAACCTAAGGACCTGAGAATCTGGAAGTCCCACCAACTCCCTCAACTAAGCCCAAGCCCAAATCCAAGCCTCTGAGAGTGGCCAAAGCTTAGCCGCCCCAGGCCTCTAGCTTGTAGCACTCACAGAGAGCCCAGCAGATGGGTTGACATCGATCTAGGCTCCATAACTTTGACTTGCAGAGAAATTTGAAAATGTCTTTTATTTTAGATCAGAGTAACTGCAAATTTCAAGTTATCAATGCCTTCTTATAAGCAAAAAGATGCTTCCTCATCCAGACACAATCAGAACTTGAAGAACTTGGGAATTTTAGATCCTTCTGCCAGATTTCTTCAAAAACATTATCCGTTCCAAAATCTTGGACAGGCAAGAGGAAATAAAATATGTTTTTATATATCTGGTCAGGGCCATATTTTTTGACAACATAGGACAAGATTAGCATTCTAATTTTCACAAAGATTCTGGTGAATAAATATGCAAGCACAGTTTATATATTTGAATATTTGTTTATTTATTATTTAATATCCAAGTTTTAAAAAGTTCCCATTGAGAAATCCAAAGTTTTAAATAATATTCTGGTACAAAAAATATTGTTCTTAAGATAAAAACTTCCATACTGCTGCCTCCAAATAAATAGAAAAACATCAGAAACATTTCAATGATTGAGTACAAAAAAATACAGAACTTCTCAAAATCAGTGATTTAAAGTTAAATCAGTGCAATAGTTAGTCACATTTCCTGGAGCTGCTAAGTAGCCTGGCCTGCTGATAACTTCAGTGCATAACAATAATTGCCAGTAATTAATCATCAATCCCACGGTTCAGAAAAGTGCTGCAGCATTTGCTTATCTCTAAGCATATCTATGTGCTTGATTTGGATTTAGATATACTTAGAAGTAAGCAGGTCTGAATATGTTTTCCTGAGAACAGACATTTTCCCATAGTGGTGCTTGCATTTCCACACCGAGCAGATGAATGATGAGGCTGATCTTGTAACAACCCTCTCTTAAGGCACCACCAGATGGAAAGCTGGGCACTGTATCACGTCATTTCAGGATTTCAATATGGAAACTGGGTAAACATTCCCTCATTCTGTATTGTCAGGTCAGCAAACATTTAACAGACAGTATTTTAAGACAAAGTCATTTCTTACATAGTAGTAGAAAGTATAAATACTTTTGTGTTTCTTTATAAATAATGATTTAGAATACTTAAATATTAATAAATAAATGTATAAAAGCTCAGTAAAAAGACTGACATTAAAAATGTGCATCAGAACAAAATTTGCACAATAACTCAGTACAAAAGGTCATATGATGTCATTAGCATCTGCACCTCTGACACTGGCTCCTTTTCCTTTTGAGAGAAGTTGGAGTCTCCACCAGTTTTTGCAAGACACTGAACATCTCGTTCACAGCTTTGCGCTGAATTTTCAAGTCACTCATCTGTTATAAGTAAGAAACAAAAGGAATGAAGATCATGTCATAATTTTTTACAATTTTTATGTTTTTCTACAGGTTACATTGCTACCAGGGGAAACCAGATGGACATCTGCAGTTTCTAGTTACTCTACTACCTAATTCCAACTGCAAAGAGACACTTTGTCGCAGATTCTTGTTCTCCACTTTCTGTGCTACTTTGCCGCCAGCCATGTTCTGTGAAATAGAGCTACTCTGTAGTGATTGCAATGATATATGAGGTATCCACAAGCAGCTAAGTCCACAGAGCTGCTGGCTGCAGGTCTCTGCAGAGGTTAGTGGTTCATGCCATTGACACTTGCTCAATAAGCCGAATGCCTCCAAAGCCCATGGAGTCGTGCTATAGGCAGGCACAACTTTCCTACTCAATTTCTAAACCACAAACAGCCATGTCAGTGGCAGCTCTGGTGGGCAGACAACACAGCAGCATTGCTGGCACCTCTGTGCCAGATGCCAGCAAGACTCAGGAAGGACAACCCCCCACTCTGACACCCCACACCACAGACCCACAGCAGCCACCTCAGCTGGAAACGTTAAGTTTTCCAGTGTGAACTGAGCCACATGGGGGTTACCAGATGGGCTACTGAAGCATTATTGGCTTGAGTCACACTCACATCTCAGCTGGAAAGTATAGTGTCATGAGCGTTGGTGGTAGAGGGAGAGCCTTACCTGAAGCTTTGCCAGGTCCATGAGGTCCTTCATCTTCTTTGAGCCATCAGGAAGGCTGTTTTTCAGAGTATAGAGCTCCTCAGTTATGTGCCTGACATGTGCCTTCGACTTGTCAGTGTTTTCAAGCATTTCCAAGAACATGGAAAGGATCTGGCTCAGGATGATCCTTTTTTCATTTCTCTGTTGAAAAAATGCAGTTGGGAAGAAAGGTCTGTTACTACCCATCAGCAGGAAAATGAACAAAGCTAAAACACAGCTTGCAGGCCTTCTCACTACCACTTGAAACAGGATGATAAAGAAAATATTAAATCTCATCTCCTGGGCTTGAATGTACCTCAGGATATTTTCATGGTGCAGGATAAAGCACCTTGATCCTGATAAGAAGCATTTTTATGGTGATGGTTTTCTCATTTCCGAGCTATCAAAGCAGCTTCTGCCCATGTTCACTCCACCCCAGCAGGTTAAGATGTCCCTGGAAGATGCTTTGTAGCACAAAAGCCCCACAAAGGGCCTGAGATGCTTTGTCATATCTGGTTCTGACTTACCTCTGTCCAGTTTTTCAGTTTTTCAGTAAAAATAGGTCCACCGTCAGCTACATCTGCATGACTTGAGTTCTGCAACAAAGAAACATATCTGTTATACAAACAGTACCTATCACAAGGAGAATTTGCATTCTCTATTCAAACAAACAGTAAAAACCCAAAGATGTGATTTTTGCGCCACTGACCTATAGATATTACAATGCTTCCACTTCTCTAAGCACCAAATTGCACTGAGTGACTGCCTAAGAACCAGGCTATAGCTCGTTTCAATAGAGATACTTAGCACCTTCTATTTTACCAAGCGCTCCTTGCAAGATTTGGTATTGAAAATTGAAGTTCATAAGCATAGCAACTGGCTAGAAAATTGTCATATATGATCTTGGCACGTTTTCTGCTAAGTTGAAGTCCACCAGAATTTATCCAGTCTTAGAAAAATCTTATGTGGAATAAAAACAAATTAACTTCACTGTATAGCTAGTTTGTAGAACTGGAGAACAGCCCAGTAGCCCCCAGTCAGGTGTGGGAATATGCAAGGTTAGCAGGCTACTAAAAGGCTTACAGGGACAGGGTTTAACCATTGGATGCTAGCCATACACTGAGGCAGATTCTGAGAAACAAAGAGCAATACAATTCTCCTACAGAGGAAAGGTAAACTGAATCATTTCCTCTTCTCTGCATGTGTCATTTTGTTGTTTTTTTTTTTCTTTTTGTATACAACAGTCACTATTTCCTTTTTTTGTCTGCTCAGTAATTTAAATATAGTGAGTGCAAAGGGAAAACTTGCAAGCTGACAGAAACCTCGTAGGCTGATTGGCTCCCTATGCTGAGCATATTGTCAAACCTTGTTTTGCTGTTCTTCTGAAAGGTGGGGAGCGCTTGCTGTAGACTGGAATTTTTAACTTCAGTGCAAGAAGCTCATCACTGCTCAGTATCTCTCCAACAGTTATATATATTCTAGTGAGGATCTCTCTGATTTATGCTAATGATAGATTTAAGATATAATGCAAATTTTACAGCCAGTTTCCTATCAATCTGCAAACACCAAAGTACCACACTAAGCTTCTTTGTATGATACTTCAGAGTGATTCTTTCACTACTAAATTTCAACTTTCATACACACAAAATTCTGACAAAATCAGAGCTGAAAATAGGATCAGACTCTTGCTGTTGCTTTCATGCATTTAAGAAAAAAAAAAAAAAAAATCCAGAAATATATTGAGAATAAAAGCTGTTACTTAGAAGTTACTTTATTCTAGATCTATTATCTCTATGACTCATCCCAGCTGAAGTCAAGCGTGAACTACTTGGATGTCTCCTAGATAAAGGTGAATTAGGATTGCAGTTATAAAGTTATCAAAATTCTGCCTGGAAAGAATGCTCATGCTGGGTCATAGTCACAGATACAGAAGCAGAATGGGTGGAGGATGCAAAAAAATAAGCAGTAGGAAACATCTTTGGGCAACACACCACCACTACTACTACTAGGACAGATGTGTTTATTAAAGCAAAATTTCTCCATTTTGTTTATAATGATAACTAATACTAAATCCTTCATTAATATTACTAACCTAAAACTAAAAAAGTGTCAGTAAATTGCATCTGAATAGAACTGAATCAAGATTCATTTGTTCATCATAAAATGCATTAAGATTTCTTCTTTTAAAACATTTCATGTAATCAAAGGCCAAATAGAGTTGGGAAAAGTTTTTGTGAAAGGAAGAGTGCCCCTGAACTAAATGTGACCTAGAACATTAGCCATGACTGTTGAAAAACTGAATCATGTCAGTAAAAAGAGTTAGCAAAACCAGAGAAATTGTCCATATTCTTGCTTTAAAAAAAGATATAACCAAAAATTTGTTCCATGGTTACCCTCTATTGGTACACATTGAGTATGTCAAGCAGTACTCAGTCTGGACTATATCTAAAGCACAAGCAGAAAGAGAAGAGAAATGCAGTAAAAGACTATACTTACAAAGTCAGCTTTCAGTTGGTCTATATCATTTTGAAGCTGAGCAAGAAATGAGCTATTTCCAAACTGTCCAAAAGAAATCATGATGATAGGCAGAACAATGAAACTGTAGGTCTGACGAGTCATTTTCTTGCTGCTGGTTCAGTTAAAATGCTCAGGTAAGTTCTGGAAGATGTCAGTTCTATTTAGTGAGCTTCAACTTCTAATAGTTATATCTTCTATTAGAAGAAAGACGAATAAACTTCATCTGCCTGTCACTGGTATTTATACCTGGTCTTGAAATTTTTTACTTCGTCATCACAGGCTGTATATATTTAGACAAGATAGCGTAAGATAAGAACCCCTCAGCCGGGGCTAATCAAGGGAATCCCTCGAAAGTATCTGCCTTAAAGCATGGTCCTGGAAAAAATTTCAGTGGTTCGTCAATGGGCAACATTTACGTGGCAGATTCTGAAGTTTCTTTTACACGTGGTTGGAGAAAAGGGGGAAATTATGATACCAGCTGAGGAGTATGCACTGTGGCTCAAGCATATTCTTTCACACTGTCTGAAACACATTGTATCGTGTGGTTAAAGGGTCAGTACACCAGAGAACTCACTTCTGGTATTCTTTTAAAGTAACTACTGAGACTACCATGGCATTATTCAGAGTCACTTACAGATCTAAATATTCTCCCTACTACTGTGCTTTTGTGAAACACTGTTTGCTTTGTCTCCATGGTCTAAAGTGCATTTATGCTGCTTTCTCATTCTTCACCTTGAGATTCAAAATAGACTTTGAGCAGTGAATTTCTGTCAATTTACTAGAAAGTGTGCAAAGAAGAGCTTCAATTAAGGAGCTTGGGAGAGATTCTTTACACAAACAGCTCAGCCCTAACACGTTGAGGACAAATCACAATACAACTGAACACAACTAATAGCTGTAATTATCCATCCAGGTAGAAGTAATTGGACCTTGTTCTCACCAAAAGGGAAG